TGAATAAGACTCGGTGAGGTTTTTACCAAACTTTGGAGCGCCACCAGAAACCAAGATACCAAGAAAAATGTTATCGCCCAAAGATAGCAGATTCACTAGGGCCCCAACACCCCTTAAAGTAATAGACATGGGGTCAAGAGAGAAAACAAAGGTATTATACTCAGAAAATCAAAAACTTAAAGCGATCGAAAAAAGTGCTGAATCAAAAGTAGGGGGTTGAAAAGAGATTTCTAACAAATCAGAAATTCTATCATTATCAAAAAGTGCCTTAGTCCACAAGGCGAGCATGCCACCTACGGAAAACTACATCAGATTTAGGCCAAGTGCGAATACCTCTTTCGCGAAGTGGCCCCAGCGGCAGAGAGTTTAGAAATGGAGGACCTTGAGTACAAGGAAACAGTTGGCCCACCGCCGCTTGTTCGACTGCCTCTGCATTGTTAAAGAAAGGACCTAGGTAGAACTCATTGAGTTCGACATTGGCAGGTGCGAGAAAGTTCGGAGTTATGTATTGACGATTAAGGAGTTTCTGAAAGTCTTCAAAACTAAAGGAGTCGCCAGATTGAGATGGTGAAGTAGCCATTAAGGACGAAATGGAGTTTTTCAGAGTTACGTAGCAGGGAAGCAAAGAGATGAATAGTAAAATTGTGAGAGAGAAGAGCGAAAAAAGTAAGGTGTGATTTAATGGTGCAGTGAAATGGCGTATTTGGGGGTTATAAGGGTTTGCAAAACGTCGCACCTTTTTAAGCTATGGAAGAAAACAATGATTGAAATTCTTGGGAATTTTGAATGTTGCTGGGAACACAAAGTGAATATGGCAAAATTTAATAATTGGTATTAATTCTGCCATATTGGGGGGTAATTGTTGACACATAAAAATTCAGCCCAAGGAATGAAGCCCAATTGGAGGCTCCACCAAATTTGGGGAGGACAAATCCAGTGACCAGGTGCGTGAGCTAAAGCCAGATGCTTAGGGCTAGAAGAGTCCTATAGGGTCTAGGGAGGAGGAATGCAAGTGAGCGATCCTGGGCCAAAAGTATGCAAAAAAGGATTATTTATATTCATTGCAAAAAAGGATTATTTATATTCATACTTCAATTTTCAGTAGTTGCTCTATATGCTAGTTGCACTCGGTACAATATTTACGATAGCACTTCCTAATTTTTATCGATGCATTCATATCTTCAATCTTTCATTAATTTTCATATCTCATATCTAATCAACTAAAAGCCTGCGTAGAGGGCATGAAAAGACGTGACAAAAATATTTATTCCCCAATTTGAAGCATGCAAAAAAATTATTTTGACAAAGAGTATCATGAAATAAGATATTTGTAACTTAATAAAATTGTGATATGAATATAATTAATAAAAAGAAATGCTAAAAGTACACCTTCCTCCGGCTTATCACCGGCAGTCTGTTCAGGATTCCAAACTCAACGATGACAACTAAATATAAGGGTTGCGCTCGTTTTTCTTGCCCGCATTTAGTTTTTTGAGTAGCCAAGAAAAAGTTACTGGATCATTGTATATTCTGTCAGCAGATATTAAAATAAAGGAAGAAAAAATGTGATAGAATTTCATTCATTAGGTTTTTACGATGGAGACTGAACACCAAGATCAGGTGCTTGGTTTAAATCTAAATTTTGCTCCAAGCAGAAGTTTTGTTTAAGAAAGGTTGGTGGTGTCTGTTAGAAATGACATTGTCATAATTCTTAAGACAGCGTTGGGGAGGATTTATATGTTGACTTCGTGTTAATTTACGCTTGAATAACTCAAAAAACCCTCGTTGCTTTGTAAAAAAAACATTGAGTTTAAACAAATAAGTAATAAAACTTTTAATATTATGAATACTAACGAGTTTTTGTTACCTATTTCTACGTATTCATGAAAATATTAACAAGAAATAAAAGATTTTTTCCGTAAATTTCTTATTTTTCACATTTTTATAAACATTTACTCCACGCAACACCCCTGCCTGAGTTTTCAGAAACAACAGGAACCAACTTCGTAAATGCAAAAACCTTTAGCTTAACAAAATGTAGAAACATCCCCGTGTGCTTGATCTTAGAAGGTTATTCGTGAATTTCATATTTTTATGCTGTCGTATAGGCGATGGACTGTGAATAATATGAATTTTTTGTCTCTTTTCCAAACCAAGATTTCAAATCAAGATTTTCTTCAAGAAATCTTGGTTGGCAAATGTAATAATTAGATTGTAGAACCAAAATCATTTAGTGGGCTCTATTTTTGACTTTCCTGCAATGCTAAGGAGACTGCACATACTTTGCTTTAAAGGAAATCCTCAAAACATCATTTACGTAGGAGTTTCTCAAGCAACAACATCATTTAAATGTGGATTACTTTAATGCACATGAACTAACTCCACGTAGAGAGAAGATTATTAAATAATATTCTAGAATGATTACTGGGCACCAGTTACTGATTTGATTTCATCATACCTAAACGGTAGTCGCCTGATAGAAACAGATGAACAAGACTGATACGAATCCCAAGCTTGACGCATCCCATTATTCAGAATATTGAGGCCTCTCAAACTTTATTTTATTTTATTTATTTATTTGGTACGACGAGTATTAGACAAGATTAACAAAGATAATGATCTATATTAATATTTTTGGTACAATAAACTCGACATAATCAAAGATATTAAGAAAGAAAAAGAACTTGAAATTTCGGTTCATAATTGTGTACAATGGTGTCCTATAAAGCATACCAAATGTGAGCTTAGAGGTAACTTTTCTCGTTGACAAAGATGCAAAAGTAGAGCAGATGTTTCATTCATATGAAAACTACATTTCCCCTCACGCCATACCAATCCCCTTTAGAAACTTCTCAAATTTCTGAAATCCCTCAGCTATATATAAAAGTGCAAGTTGTTCTCATCATACCTACTTCTGCAAAATGGCAACATATTTGTGGTTTTATGTTTCAACTTGCTTATGCATTTTGTTTGTCATTGCCAATTCCCAAGCACCAGCAGCTTCACCTACTCCTCCAGCAGCAGCAGCACAGCCAGCTTCAAGTGCAGCAACTCCATCAACCACCCCTATAACGTCATCACCACCTATAGCTCCACCAATTTCCAACCCAACCACCCCGCCACCTCAAGTCCCACCACCACAAACTCCACCAAATCCAGTAGCAAGTCCAGCCCAGCCACCATCATTGCCACCACCACCGGTGGTTTCACCAGCAGTACCTCCACCACAGGCATCCCCTGCGCCTGTCCAACAGCCACCACCAACACCAGCCCCGGCAATAAAGGCACCCGCTCCTGCACCGACAATACCCCCACCAATTCCACCACCTACGGCACCCCCAGCGCCAGTGCCTGCACCACCTGTTGCATCACCAGCCCCAGTACCATTTTTGGTACCCTCACCTGCACCAGCACCTGGCAAGCACAAGAAAAGGAAGCACAAGCACAGGCATCATCAGGCACCAGCACCCGCACCAACTGTCCCCAGCCCTCCAGCACCACCTACTGTTCAAGATACTGAGGAAACAACACCAGCACCATCACCAACTCTAAATTTGGTAATGCATATACTTTCGATTTTTATACCTTATTATTTTCAATAGTGCCTGGCCAAAAATCCTAACGTTATATAGTGTCTGATTCCTCATCATTCAATTACAGAATGGAGGGGCATCACTAGGTCAGCAGGGAAGATCTAGAATGTGGGCAACTGCTGGATTGGCAGTAGCCACTCTCTTGGCTGTCACGAGCTTCTGCTCATAAGCTTTTACGGGGCAACCAGTGGTACAGATGACTATAAGGTTTTTGCACGAAAGAAGAATTGTTGGCATACACCAGAGGATCAGGGCAGACAACACTTCATCCCATATCGATTTTCTTTCTTTTCCCCAAAACATTGTATTGTCACTATATACTTGATATGAAATTTGTTCATTGTTAACATATATTCTTACATAAGAAAATAAAACAGAAAAACTGAATGAAAATCGATAACAAGCTTGCTCTAGATTTGATCAGTTTCCTCCCGTAAGTTGTACTCAACCACAAGTCCTAGATTGTCGACTAACTTGTGATACTTGGAACACCCTGAACACTGTTGAAAAGCATAGCCAGTTGAAGCCGTTAAATATAATATGATTTCAATAATACTGAAAGACAGAGAATAGCCAAAAGTCTGATACATATAACATGAAAAATAAAGAACTAGTATTTGAATACAGAAAGGCTCTAATCATGCATATTCTACAAAAGCGTAAATAGAACATAGCGTCCTTATGGCCAAATAACAAAAGTAACATTAGTGAGGATTATTAGGGTAGAGACCAAAGATCTTGAACGACCAATCTGGTAGAACAATTGAAAAGATAGATGGTTAGAAATGCCAAAAGAAAATACTGAACATTCGAATACAGTTAATCGGGACCGGGTATAAATTATGGCAAGTATTGTCTTTTATTCTCTTTTTAGTAATTGCTCATCCCTTCCTCTTTCTTTCATCGCCAATTGTGGTAGACAATAAAATAAAGGGATAATTGTAGCAAAAGCCCCAAAGCTTTGAAACATTAGCAAACTTTCTCAAAACCTTTCATTTGTTGCAACCATCTCTCCTTACCTTTTCAAACGTTGCATGTGAGGCATTTTTGGATGATTTTCGTAAAAAATGCCGTCAGTTGATCATCAAAATAAATTTTAAACACCTTTTAATCAATTTTAAAAGGGCAAAATGAAAACTTTTTATTTACCACATTAAACAATTAAATAACTTTAAAAAAAAAAAAAAGAAAGAAAGAAAGAAAGATGGATCTTCTTCTTCTTCTTCTCCACCCCACCCCCCCAATCTAAAACCAGTAAATCTGCCACCGCCACCGCCACCGCAATCTCCCACCGCCACCGCCATGGACATCTTGGCCAGGATATTTGATTGAAATCAAATCCCTTGCCCATTACAAAAGGAGCACCGTAGTGTACCCGTGACGGATTTCAAGAAGAACTCGAAAACCCCCTTCAATTTGGTCATAGAAGGTGGGAACACGATTGCAAGGAAGGAGGGTTTTGTATTGGGGTCTTGGAGGCAAAGCTGAAGGTACTGGCCGGCCTTGGTGTAGGAGGACGGAAGGTTCGGGGAGTTAGGGATGTCGATGGTGATTTGCAAAAGTGACTTAGCTGTTGGGGAGACTTCTAACAGGGGAGACTTCTAACAGCGAGGTAGAGGCCTAGAGAATTGTGTCTTGGCGTACGACAACAGCGGATAAAATGAGGCTACGGCGACGGAGGTAGTGGGAGAGGTGGCAGATTTATTATTACTGGTTTTAAATTGAGGGGGTGGGGAAAGTAGAAGATCCATTCTTCATTCTATTTTATTTTTTATTTTATTTTTTGGTTTTTAATTTAAGTTTTTTAATTATTTGATGTGATAAATAGAAAATTACTATTTTATCCTTTTAAATTGATTAAAAGGTAGTCAAAGTTTATGATGGTCAACTGACGGTATTTTTTACGGAAACCATTCAAAAGGGTCTCACATGTAACGTTTGGAAAGGTTAGGGATGACGGTTACAACAAATAAAAGGTTTGAGGAAAGTCTTTTAATGTTTCAAAGGTTAAGGACTTCTGCTACAATTATCCCTAAAATAAATTGTAACATAGATTACACAAAAACTACTTCAGAGACGAATTACCTGTACATAAACAAGCCCTCGTTCATAAGCTAATCTATTTATCAACTTTTGTGATCGTGCGTCACAAGAGTTACACGTGAAAGTTACTAACAAGCTTCTTCTCGGGAGCTTTAGGTCAATAGCTGCTTCCTGCAAGAAAGAATTACATTAGAAAGTATTACACACTCAAGTGTAATTTGCATGAAGATAGAAAGAATTATACGTTATACATAAGACTAATGATTTCATTCTTTAAATCGAGAATGTTTTCCATAAGAAAAGCAATCCTGCAGAAGCAATTTCTTGACCTTATAATTAAGAAGCATCCCCCAGTTTGTTTTACCCACTATATCAACAGAATATATCTATAGAACCATGGAAGGAAACTAAATCTATCAGTAAGAATAAAACAGGACATGAGAAAAGAGGGGAGCCAAGAAAATATTTCCTTTCGATTTTCTACAATATAATGTCTTGAAACAGTGACCCAGAAGTGATAACTTCAGCATTATCTTTACAGTTTGTCACTAACTGAATAAAACTTCTGATTGTATCTTAAAACTTAGGGAAATGATGAAGCACAGAACAGTTTCAATTCTCCAATAAGACTATTAATACTCCGAGTAGCCCAATTTTAGTATTAAAAACCCAAAGCCTTCACAATAAGAGCAATGAAAAATTCATGAGCGTACAAGAGGAAACTATTAGAACCATTCATAGGCATTATGTAGAGATCCAAGGAGTAGATTGTTTGCATGAATCTTGAAAAACCAATATCAACGAATTAACTTACTGAAAACCCATTTTCTTAATTACCAAATTCTATTCCCCGATAGTTGCACAATCTGTCCAATTCTCCTATAATTCAAAAATTGACACTGAAGAGTCCAAATACTAAAAGCACAAAAAAAACTATCTTGAATTTCATGAATATTATGATTAAATTGGATGTACAAAATGCTTCATTGCCCAAAAAACCTAAATGAACACTGTTATACTGGGTCTTATTTGTCCACCCACATGGTAGCTTGTTGCTAGGACTTGGGAATGGTGTCAGATACATATTTAGTAGCCGGATGCTTGTTCTTTTAAAATTTAGGATACGAGGATACGGTGAAAAATGATCCAAACTTTGGATATGCATACGGGGATACGTCTTATATAATCTTAAAATTTTTCTTATAGAAATCAATTTAAATTCAATCTAAAATAACAAAAAAGGACATAACAATACATCATTTCAAATCCAATTCGAACATAACAAAAACAACATTAAAGGACAATAAACACAAGGACTACAAATGTTTCAAAAAATCCAACAGAACATCATAACAAAGTAACATAAACCATCTAAAATGCCCTAACAATAAAAACAATAAATAGTCTTCTTAAAATTCAACTACAAAACAATTCAATTTCATCTTCACTCCTCATCAAAAGTAATTGCCTCCAATTGTGGCTCATTAAGAGAGAGTTCGACAAGTTCAATACTAGTTTGTCCATCTAAGTCAATTTCATCTCCACCTTGAAAAAAACAAAATCACATAAAACTTAATGTAATAAAATCATATATTTAAAAGAGAAATAAAGAAAATACTATCCATACACAAATCTAAATATTTTGTTGGTCCATAATACTCTTCCTTTTATGATAGTAGCAAAAGATTGCGATGCACGTTTTTCCTTACTTCTTGTCAGCTTTTTTTTTCATTTAATACTTTAAGTAGGTGCTTCAATTTCTCTCAGAACAAGATGAAGATGCTGGTTGTGAAAGCAATTTAAGGCCAAAGATAGCAATAAAGGTACCAAACCATCATGATTAGCCCACTAAAAAATCGGTTCTTCAAACAATCTTGCCTCGATAACATTATGCGGATTGAAATATTCGGATCCACTAGAAAAAGAACCAAATTCAACATATGCTTTCTTCAAATTAATCGGATTTCCAAATAACTTTTTGAAACATTTTCTTCTATTCATTGAAACTTTTTGATCCCCATGTGTTGCAACTTTTGAAACTCCATTGCTTCCATCTTGGAACTCCTTTATAATATATAGCGTACTCTTTAGTTCCTAAATATTATTATGAAGCCAATTAAAGGAGTTCGAAGATGGAAGTAACAGAGTTCCAAAAATTGCAACACATGAGGATTAATAATTTCTATGAATAGAAGCAAATGTTTCAAAATATTGTTTGCAAATTTGATCGATTTGAGGAAAGTGTATGTTGAATTTTGGTTTTTTCCTGGTGGACAGTATTTCAGTTGTAGAAAGAACATTTCAAGAATCAATTTCTTGGTACGCTAACCATGGTACTTCGGGTATCTTTATTTCAATCTTTGGCCTTCAAATTAAATTCACAGCCAACATCTCAATCTTGTTGTGAAAGAAATCGGAGCACATATTCACTTATCCAAAGTATCAAAAGAAACAACTTGACAACAAGTAGGGCTGAAGACCTAAAATTTGTGCGTTCAATCTTCAGCTAATGTCTCGAAGCAAGGAGTACAAAGGGCCAAAAAAATATTGGGATTTGTGTATGTATCCTATATTCTTTATTTCTTTTTAGGGATATGGTTCTATTGTATTAAATTTTGTTTTGTAGGTGGATATCAAACCGACTTGGATGGTCGAACTAGCATTGAGCTTGCGGAACTCTCTCTTGATGAGCCACAACTAGAGGCAGGCAAGTACTGTTGATGATGAAGAGTAAAGTTGATTTGGACTTGTTGGTTTAATTGGATTTTAAGTGGACTATTTATTTCTTCTATTGTTATGATATTGTAGACGGTTTATGTACATAATTTTTTGTTATATTTTACGAACCATTTGTAGTTATTGAGGTTATCGGGAATGTTGCTTTTGATATTTTGGAATTGAATTTAAAATGATTTATTGTTCTATTAATCTTTGTCATTTTGGTACTGAGTTTAAATTGATTTCTATAATTTTTTTTTTCAGGTAGAAATAATTTTAAACTCAATATATATAATATGTATCCCCTTGCCTATAGCCAAAATTTGTATACTTTCTAAACATGTCCCCATATCTAGAATTTTAATAAATAAGAAGGATCCAACTCCTATTTATGTACCCTTATACAACACCTGTACCCGAGTCCGAGCAACATAGATGAAGAATTATGCTTAAAAATCTAGAAAATTAACCGAAATACATAAGCTCGATTAATTCAATCCAAAAGTTCTGCAACAGATAACCAAATCATATCTAATTATACCTTTGCAGCGTCATTTGGTACATATGTCTGGTCTGTTTCTGGGCATGCTTCAGAATTACTTCCCATCAAACAAAATGTCGCTGGTACCCTAAGACATTTTTCCACTGTTGTCTTCCTTTTATAACAAATTCTCAACCTGTAAAATACAAGTAGATAAATTAACAAACATCCACACAGTAAACGATAAAATCTATGATAAAATCGAATGAAGATTGAATCCATTTAAGTAAAATCATCCACAAAGACTGATTATTTTAACAAATTTTGAAAACACATGGGATTGAATTACTTATTGATTTAAAACTAAATTGAAAAAAACAGAACGAAGGCAAACGGGAAGTAAAAATATCAGAAAATAGTCATGAAATACCACAAAAACTATAAGATCAAAAATTATGATACCATAGAATAAACATTGAATTCATCTAAGTGAAATTATCCTCAAAGATTGATTTTTTACACTTCTTGAGAAGGCATGGGATTGAATCATCATATTGATTCAAAAATAAATAGAAAAATCGGAAGAAGATAAGGGGAAAGAAAGAAAAACATTAGAAAATACCTGGGGGATATCAAGTTCTTTTGGCTAAGACGAAAATTGAGCCGAGGAAATGGAAGAGAAGAAATGGGTCCTTCTGCTCTGACATGGATAGTGTGTGTAGCGTACAGGTAGGCACGGTCATGAATGGTGGTGCTGCTAATAGCCGCCATGGCCAAGACGAGAGAGTGCGTGGAGCTCCTAAATACGCAGATGTTTCCCCGCTTTTCTTTCAATAATGCAATTTGGCAATGGATGCTAGCGTATATGGATCATAAATTTTTTGTATTAAATTGAACTGTAGCTTAATATTACTAATTTTTTATACGATTTGGTCCTACCCCAATTTATCGGTTTCAATATTTTACTTTGTATGGAAATTTACGTTAAAAAAAATAAAGTTAAAAAAAAGGAGAAAGAAAGAAAAAGAAATTGGTCAAGATCTTTACACATCCTCCAATTATTGTCGGTGTCTATCTCACATATCTACGACGTTGGGAATCTAAATTTGCCATTATAGGTGATATTGCCACCTTACACCTCGATCGGACCACTCTCGATAGATTTTGCCCAACGAATAATTTTCGCCTATGATCTTGAGCATTACTCCTCGAGAATTCTACGGCTCGTGTCTTGGCACCTCCTCAAGTGGCATCGTCGCCCGACATCCCCCGGCATGAGGATTCAACACTCAATTGTGATATCTTCAAGGTTGTCCGCTGACCTCGCTCCTGGCAACACAATCCATTAGGATTATCCCACAAGATGAGGCCTATCCTCTCCTAAGGAAGTTGAGCCTTTGTATAGCTGTTTCGTCCATTTGTAATAGAATTCTATCACTGGAGTTCTGTCCTTATCCGAACACATTAATGGTATAATGCCATTTAGAATTACAACTCCTAAGCATGGTAAGATTCCCAGGGATTTGAATACCTAAATTCTATCATGATTGTACAACTTACCTCTATAAATATAGCACCCTAATTCATTATTCAGATGCATTTTTACATAATTTCCAGTCTATAGTCTCACACACAAATTTTATTTCTGATTTAAGTATCGGAGGGGCGAGGACATACATCGGCACCTTTGTTTAAATTTACATTGGCGCCTTTGTTTAAGGTGCTCGAAGATTTCGTTCTTGTTCATTCTCAATCGTCAAGCTCGAGAAATCGGCTAGTACGATTTTTGGTAGCATCAATAAGTAACATGAGAAACTAAAAAAAAATAAAAAATGGAGTGTCTATTGAATATAATAAGAGTCGAATTTCATGTCTAACTGCATCTTTTGATGATTTTTGTTTAAATATTTTGCTTACGAGCTTTAAAATTTAAAGGCAAATATTACTTCGTACTTTATATTAATTTTTTACTTTCTTGCTTAAGTAAACATATGAAGGATAAATAAATTTTTATTTTCAGATACGAACAATCAGCAACAAGATGTACAAATTAATGTAAAGTTCGAAAATAAGAAATACAAGAAGAAAAGAAGCTAAACTTAGGACATGAGCACAATAATGAGCAATGTTGATCTATTAGGGAATAGAGAAAGATCTTGTAACAAGATATAAATGTAGCGGCTATAAAGCCACCCATTTTCAAGTAGTACTATTTCATAGCCTTCTGCTCAGATTTTTCATGCTAGAACACATTTAGTTTCTCTTGTATAGCTTGAAACAGAAGTGCAATTCCAAATTTCCAATGACCCGAGTATCGATTCTAGTTAAAAAATTACTTTCTCCAGCTCTATCACACTTCATCTAGTATTAGAATTGATTGAAAAATAAAATAAATAAATAAAAAATAAAAAAGAGGGACTCATTTTGTTCATATTATGCTAGTTCGTATATGGCTCGATAAATCTTCAAAGAGATCTTTCCTCCTTCATATGCCTAAATTTTGGAGAATCATAACCTCAACATGTTTCCAATTGAAAATCCATTCTAAACGGTTCAAAGCAAAACTTGAAAACATGATAGATGAAACCATGGACTCAACATTGGACTTAAGAATGTGAAAACTTCAATAAAGATCAACATTTATTCAAGTAAATTCCAATTCAACATAAAGCAGTAATTGACACAATGCACTCAGAACAGAAACATTTAGTTGATTTACATTATAACGACTTTCACTAGTTCTACAAACAGAAACTCAAAAGGGAAAATGAATAGCAGAGAACAGAGAATATAAAGCTTCATCAGTGTCAACTCGCTATGACATTTCCCGAAACCGGGCAATGGCCTTCTTTTGAATAACAGCTTTGTAACTATCTCCCGCCTGCACTTCAAGTTTTGGATCCAACTTCTTCGGCTGACTCCCTAGTCCAGCTCTTGTATCCATGGCCTGAGCTTGGACAGGCTCTACCATGCCACTTCTGTCTTTTCCCAATCCCTAGATATATGATCAACACACAGAAACCAAACAAAAATCCCCGAATGCATAGTCAGATACTGAAATAAACAAAAATGTATCACCACTGTCACTTAAGAGCTGATTGATGTAAGTGAATCTTCAAAAGAGGAATAATGGTGTGTGTTGCCTAAACTTGCAAGTTCTTAGTTTACAACTGAATCTATGAGGTGCTTGCTTGGCTAGAGCTTTCTCTTATAAGCAATGGGTTCCAAGGAATGTGTGGAAAATTGTGGGTTGGTCCTAAGGAATGTGGATAAAAATAAAGTTTGACAAGTTCATATGCTTTGCCAAACCTGCAAGAAATGGATGAAATTCGAAAAGAAAACCAATTGATATTGCAATGTACAGAGTATGGTCATAAATTTTATTTGCACATTGAAATTTGCGTTTTTAAGTAAAACCAACACAAAAGTTGGGTAGTGCAGGATGAGAATTGGTACCGAGCCTTCATGCCAGCCCATGCTGCGGAGCATCCGATTCCCCACATTTGTTTCATCAATTGCCCTGTCTGCTGTGATCACTTCATAGTTCTGACTATTTGCATCTCCAGCAACTCGTCCACCTCCAACACCAGGAGGGAAAGGCATGGAATCCAAAGCACCCCTTCTAAATGTTGAATCTCGATCTTGGATGTCCAGCAGCAATAACAAGAACAAAATTTTCTAACAAGTCAATATGGATTCCAAAGAGATAATAAACTAGCAATCGACCATTGGAATCTTATCCATCTCAAGTTTTCATATATATTTGCACCAGGCAAAGTTTGAAGCTATGGCAGACTATTCAACCATTGCCCAACACAACTGAACTCTGTTAGAAGTCACAGAGCAATCATACAGCATACGGAAATGCTAGATGCAAAAATAAACTCACTCTAGAATTCAATGATGAGAAAGAGAACAATAAGAAAGAATGGCAAATGACACAAAATCAAGATAAACTTACTGGAATCTCCAACATCAGATTGGTCATCCCCAAAAGATGATGATGAACCATACAAACTTCTACGTTCAGCTGCTCGATCTCTGTAGGTAGTTTGGGTCTGTTCCCTATTTGAGAGAGCAGAAGATGGCATCTCTGAAAACCTTCTCTTACCACTTCCAGCTGCAACAGATGATGCATAAGAACCCAGAGCAGAAGCATCTGTTCTGAATGGTGTCACTGTGATCGAAGCATCTGTGAAAGTCAGCGAAGATGGAACTGAAGATGTGCTGGTCGAAGAAGTGGAAGCACCTCCTGTTGATCCTGTATATAAAGTATCAGATTTCACCACCCCCATTCCAGAACTCCTTATCACCCCTTTTAAGGATCCACTGGAACCAGAAATCACGGGTCTGGCCCTGTCTACAGATTCCAAAGCAGCAGATTGGATTGGGGAATTTGTTGTAAATCCTGAAGAGGACATAGAATTCTCTTTTGTACTCGGCACGTCGCTTTTGAACTTGCTTTTTGTGGATGGCGCTGTATTAAATCTCTCCTCAACTGCAGCAGATGGCTGATTGTCATCAAGTGCCACTCGTGGTGCTTGTCCTTCATTACTCCTTTGCTTCCACATGGTAAGAACATTACTCATCTTCTTCTTGTTAGCAAGAATGCTGCTTTTAGAAGCAAGTCTTATTTCTTTTAATTTCTCCTTCTCTTTCTTTTCAGCTGCCATTGCTGCGGCAGCAGCAGCCTGGACAGTATCTGGTAATGAAGCAGCTTTCTCATTCGATGTTATTGTAGCAGCTGGTGCAGATATAATCACTTTTTTACTACTGGGACCATCAGATGCCTTGGAAGTTTCACTTTGCTTTTCAGCAGTTTTGTCATTCTGATCAGCACAAGGGATATATTGCTGAGTTTGGTGATCATAAGTATACCAGATGCCATTGTTGCCATCATAATATAAACCTGCAAAGTGCAACATTGGATAAATTAAAATTTAGAATCTAGTTCATATAAAGTGGAAAATGTCCATGAGCCAAAAACATTCCACATTGATTAACTATAATTATTCATGAACTTCTGCAGACTAATAGTCTAATTCTTATTTAAGTACATCCTCATTTCTTCATTTTTCAAAAGCCCCCATTTAAAAACAAATTTCAGTATCTTACTGTTATAAGTAACATTTATATTTGTCAGCACATAAATATCGATTTTGGAAGAAGAACCAAGTCAACAAGCTGGTTCCGTGATTATACATTTGTGTCTCAAGATATAGTATAGGTGAATGAAGATCCTCACGCAAGGTGGTAGCAATTCTCATGCTTTCTAAGAATTTATTAGAAGAGATAAGGTAGAGATTAGCCTGTTCCAAAAGAATGCTATACCGTTGTAACAAAAAGGAGCAAATTCTATTTAGGAAAATGAGCACAATAATTGAATTGAAAATCAAATGGGGAATAATGCAGAACTCAAGAAAGCAAGGGAAAGAAGAAGAGAGAGGCACTTGATATATTATCAAAAAACTTTGGCTTGGAAGCACAGAAGTATTTTATGTGCTTTTTGGAAAAAAATAAGGCCCAAAAACATATATACGTAGCTTAAAAAAAAGATCTAAAGAGAGGAGGGAGCAAGAATGTTGCAAACAAGCAAGAGGTACATTACAACTAGAAAATTGGGTTAATAAGATAGTAATAGTAGCATTTCCACATCCACAATCAGAAAAGGGGCAAATGCTCTAGATGTGGGATATCTGCATATTCATGGCTGGATCTTCTAATGTTAGATTTATTTTTTCCTCTGGTAAAAAGCATAGATTTGTAGTGAAGATGTCTAACATGATATACTATTTGGACTTGTATATGTGAGTCATGCTGGTATATAATAAATGTTATATTTCAGATTAATTTCGAAAATTCAAATATGCCCCACCATTTAATTCCTAATTTCTTGATTCTTAAAACACAAATCTAAATGCCATAAAGAATCGGCAGAAACAGGATATTAATCATTGAAATAAACTTGAAATGAATAACAATAAACTAATCCTTTCCTAATGAAAATGGGGTTGTCTACATAAATCTTTTCTGGCACTCACAATCAGTGCATTGATACACCCTAATCATCTTTGATCAAATCCACATACATAAACACACAATTCACAAAATAAATGACCAAGACCTGCATGAGTTACGGGATCTTTCCAAACATATACAAATAGAAATAATAAAAGGAACCTTTGGAATGAAATCAAACTATGAAGAGACAAACCTGCATTTCCATCATAGTAGAATCCAGAAGCAGCATCATAATAATAACCAGAGGCTTCGTCCCACACAAAACCAGATCGAGGCGCTGAAGGATCCTTTTGAATTGTGTTTTCTCTGCCCTGATCTTCCTCATCAGCAGATTGTTTATCATCAGGATTGTATTCCTTAGGTGTCCACCCAACAGCATCGTACTAAAGGAATTTAAAAAGGAATAATTAGGCGGCAAACATAAGCACAAATTCATCTTCTTGCATTGATAAAAAACAAGATTTTGTTGCCATAGGCAGGCAAGTAAAACTAACAAATAAGATGAATGTACACCTCTAACTGCACATAATTAAGAAGTACGGATACGGATAAGTGCTATGAAATTCAACGTAATTTCATTAATATAAAAAAAATAAAAATAGAAGCATAATAATACAAATAAAATAGAATACTAAAGCATTTATTTAAATCCTTAATTGTCCAAACTTCATTTTTTCAACATCAACTTCTTCATTATAATTAAAAATCACTCTCCAACTCTGACTCATCTAATGATAGATTAGCAACCTTAAGCAGTTTAACACAAATGAGTCTACGATATTGTCCCCCATTTTGAATTCTCTTTTTGAATAGAGATATAATTTTCTTGATATACTAATAATGTATTTCAATAATTATAATTAATATTCGACATGTTATTAAAATAATTATAAATATTATTAATATCCAATAAGTTATTAAAATAATCGAAAAAAACATATCCGATAGCTATCGAATACGTATCGAAAATAATTAAAAAATATAAAATAATTAAAAATATGTATCCGTTGCGTATCGAAAATTTTAAAAATGTATTTATAAAATAATTAAAAAAATGTATCCGGTACGTATCCTGTAAAGAGTTTTACAAGTATCTGTGCTTCTTAGGCACATGATAAACGAACAATAATAGCTGCATTTTTTATGATCAATTTATAATCAACTCAGTGCATCATAACCTCAAAAACCCAATGAGAAAACTTCATTTCTGATCTTAATATAGGAACTGAAAAATATCAACGTTCTGCCAGGACTAAATTTACGCATTTGGTGCATGTTTGGTTCCCAACTGTTGGGCAATGCAGCAGGTCTAAAACAGCTCTTGGGCAGAAAATTGAGTATTAAAGTCTTTTATTATAATAAGTGCAGTGCAACAATTAGGGGTTGAACCTAGCCAACAATAAGTGCACGGTTCAATAAAATAATATTAGCTTAAAGAAACTGAGAATGAATAGCGCACATCCGCTAAATTTATATAACTAAGTTGATTTCCACTATTACTATGAAGAAATATGAGGAGAAAGAGCAACGAAATTGTGAGTGAATTGCGTCAATTCACCAAATTTATACAACTAAATTAATTTCCAATACCATAATAAAAATATTTCAAAGCAAAAAATGACAAAAACATAGGTCAGCCTAGATATGTGGCCCATGGACAGCAATTTACACATAAAGAACGAAATGTTCTAGGAAAAGGCCAAGTAGGAAACCTGCTGGGCAAATGTTGCTGCTTCAATTGCAGCAGCAGCAAGACTACTTGACTGAGAAGCACCTGGCGTTGCCGATCCACCTCCAATAATACTTTTTGCATAGGCAACTCGAAGAATCTGCCCATTTTTCTCTAGAGTGGTGCCATTTGTTGCTTCAAGGGCTTTAGTAGCATCCTCAACCTGAAAATAAGTAAACAAAACCGAATACAAATTATTGACACAACAATAATATATCTAGATAAAGCAATATATGGCCCAGACGATGAGCTTCCAAGGGAAATCAAAATCTTAACCAACTTAAAAGGCAGAAAAAAAAAAACCATGATATCAAGCAGTCTCCAAAGAAAATTGCCTTCAAATGTTAAGAGGAGAAGAGAGAGTTCAGTTTGGCAAAACCTGGAACAGTTACTAAGCACTGGATATATTCCACTAAAAATTACATGGAACATCAAAACCACATCATATTTGAAATTTGAGGAAAACGCTAATGTCCATATTAACATATGTGCATCTGTTATCTCTTTCCAACTTACAATAAATTATTTCTTATTATAAATCACAATAACAATAAAATGCGTTTAACAATAAAATGTGTTTACCATATTCACCTGTCGGAGAAAATACCAAATAGTTTCACCACATGCAATAGATGCACATAAACTTACCGAATGAAAATGAACGAAAGCAAATCCTCTTGAGACGTGAGTGAATTTGTCTCTAACAAGTCGCAGATCCTGCAAGTGTTGAAATCAATACAGCTCCTGAACAAAAGAATAAACAGATAATTAACCACAACAATGGAAGCAAATACTGCACTGCACCTTAAGAGGAGCGTGTTTAGAAAATTCATAACGAAGCATTTCCTCATCTGCATTTTCATCCAATCCACGAACAACAAGAACATGGGTAGGACCTGAAAACACAACATAGAAAATATCCGATACATGCTTGTCATCCCAGTTGAGAAAACTAGCCTTTACAATTAACATGAGTAGAACCTGAAAGTATATCAACACAGAAATGTGATATACATGCCGTTTCAGAGAACTGGTGTGTGTACAACTAACCTATTTCTCCTCTCTTCCCAATAGAAGTGGGATTTGACGACGTCATATCAGCTGGGGGAGCATCTTCCATTCTTGGCTCATTACACTGATTCAACAGATGAAAAAAAAATCCCAATTACTTGGTAAAAATTACTCGTGGAGAAAGTTCAATCATAAAAGCTGAGAAAGCTTCTCTTCATGCATCTGTGCAATCCCTCCAGATTTGAAATTGAATGCATCAGTTTTACCAAGTTATCCTTCCAAATTTGGTTCAGGAAACAGTTAATAATAACTTTCACGGAAGAATCAGACTGATTCAATATCCATTTTAGCACAAATTAATTAAGAAAAATTGAACATAACAATTTGAAATCCACAGTTAGACAAAAACAGTGTGAATTCTGACTGAAAAACAAAGATCGTTCAGATTTGAAATTGAATGCATCAGTTTTATATTGAGACCGCCAGAAACAATAAAACTCATGATCACCAGGCCTAATTTTCGTATCCACCTGGCAATACATGAACTAATGAACTTTGACAAATTCTGCCTACAAAAATCTAGAAAGATAAGCCTAATAAAAATTGGCACATCACAGTCCAAAAAAAAGACGATGAGGGGATATTAATGCGAGAAAGTATTACTTCGAAATAAATGAGGGGAAGAAAACCTGAAAACAGGATGTCCGCCTAGCAAAATTGACACAACCACAAATAGTGCACATCCAATCTGATGGTACGGTAATACTTCTGCGAACATGGCCTGATCTTGATGCATGATCTGTTCCAAGAGGCCCACTAACCCCCCCAGTTGGTTTACTACTGCAACAAAAGTCAATTGTATAATAACAATTGAAAATATTTAATACAGATATTTTTACTTGGATAGTCCACATAAATTTGCCAGGACAGAATCAACATGGATTGACTACAATGCAATAAATTCAACAGCATGTACAAAAATTTCCAAACATTGAAACACTAAATCACATTCTGCATGCAGACTGAAAAAAAGTCAAACCAATTAACATAGCCCTAAAACTCATCTCTATACGTTGAGGTGTTGTAGCATTAAAAGGGTGGAGAAAGATAAAGAACATAAATGTAAAGAAACATGACAAAAGAAAAGGTGAGATTTGATAATAAAATAGATAAAACCTAAAGACAGTACAACGATGGAAGATAATAAGGATACAGGGGATAGAACAAGTCCATATAAAAAAAACAGCAAAATCAATAGAACTGGACTTTCATGTAAGCTACATGCCCAAGAAGAATTCAAAAGTATTCAAAGTTAAATGCACTAGGAAGAAAGTGGTAGATAGAAACCTACCAATTCAAATTTTTTTTTTTAATCAAGTGTCCACAAGTAAATTCGTCACTGAAAATAAAAAGACCCCACCACTAACTTTTGAATAATCTGAAGTAAACCCCGCAGAAGATAAACTACCACACCAGCCAATGCTAATACACCAAGTCATTCAACCTATTCATCAGCTTGGTCACCTCAATGCAAATAAACTCAAATTACGCAAGTTAGCTATGTATGTACCAATCACAAAAGTTAGATATATATACCTGTATTCAAAGAAGAGGTTTCTGCCATCTACAAGCAGACCTTCATCCCCAAGCCTAGTCATCATTGCTTGTGCTGCATCCTATTTTACAGCAATAAGCTTCAGCATTCCGCAGTTATGATATGTATAGACAGGATATCAGAAGTTATGTACCACAGAAGGGAAATCAATAAAAGCAAATCCACGAGATATGACAGAATTTCGCTCCTTGATCACACGGACATTACGAAGTGGTCCCCATTCAACCTGATATAAATAAACAAGGTACATGCAAGGGGTAAACAAAGTGAGATTGACACATAAAGTGATAAGTGTCCATGATAAATATTTAAAAAGATGGGAAAAATTAAGAGGAATTACAAGGATCTGGTATAAATCTTCTTCAGTTGTCTTTTGAGAAAGACCCTTCACAACAACAGTAGCAGAGGGAGCCTACAAAGAGCAGCACACTGTTCAGGTCTTGGATCTAGTGAACTGCGAAAAATGACTGAGATACCAGGAGAAAATAGAACATACAACAGAGTAATGGTCATGCAGACGTCTATCCTCATGATCACTTCGTCTGCCACTCCTCCCATGCCGACCGTCATCATAACTGTCTTCTCTAAGACTTCGACCATGACTTCGGCCTCGAGGAGACCTAGACCGTGCACGATCATCACGACCATGAGAACGTGAAGGAGAACGAGAGTGATCGTGCCTTCTGTATGGACTTTCATCCCTTTCCCGACTCAGGTCTCTATTGTCATGCTCACGTTCACGAGATTCACGCCTTCTCCAGTTACTTTCTCTCCTATTGCCTCTATCATAGTCAGAATCATAACTGTGTCTCCCATGCTCAAAATCTCTTTCAAGACTGTCCTCCCTACTGTGACGTGAAAAACGAGATCTGAAGTCATAATCATCATAACTGTAATCATCACGTTCACGCTCTCCATATCTAGCAGGCCTGTCAAATTGTTGATCTCAACTGTTGTCAATACTGAATAACCATCAGGAATTTATAATATTCCAGCATGCGTCAGTTTTATGATACTTATCAGCTTCAATAAAAGAACTCATTTAATAATAAATCAACATACGGCTTTTCATGTCGTCTATAATCCCTCTCAAAAGAATATTCTTCTTCATAGTTTCTCCTCCTTGTTTGAGGCCACATGCCAACTGGTGGTGGTGGAGGTGGATAGCTATCCCTCTCCAATATGTCCCGGTGAAAGTCACCCCTTGGGTAAGCATCGTCCCTCGAGAACCTGTCATCTACATACCTCCTGTCATCATAAGGGTCACCAGCCCTGTCAAAAAAATATGAGACGAGCCAATAGAAGTGAAGTGGAAGTAATAGAAAAGGAATACAGTATATGGATCATGAAAGATATGACATGCAAAGTCAACCATTTACACATCTTCATATCATAAAAGGCAAAGCAGATAAAAACAAATAAATAGCCATCATGTACTGTTGCTAAGAATCCCATCTGAACTCCATCAGCAAGGAAAGAAAAGTAAACAACTAGAGCTCATACTAGAGAAAATTAAAAGTTACCCTTTTGGCAATAAGCATCATTAAACACTCACCTGAAGTATGAATCATGAACAGCACCATACCCCTCCAAAGCCTGTGGATTCAAGAGAATAAGCTATATCAGCAACTAATAATCATGGTTCAAGTAGGCAAATCGATTCCACATCCTCACTGTCCCATGGCTTCTCTCATGCACTCTAAGGATGAGATGCCGGAAAAAAAAAGGACTATCACATGAGCCTAATTTTGCATATCATCCCATAAATGTGATTAAAAGGAAACCACAATTACGCTGTTATTTTCCCATCCTTGCTGAGGACCATAGTGACCACGATCCATTGATTCCAAAACAGTCAATCTTTCTCCTGAAAGCTCTTAATAATAATGGGCCAGAAGTTGCAAAAGCAAGATGAACCAAACCTTTCCTGTAATTGACGAAGAGAGAGTAGTTATGCCATCATGAACCTAGAAACAGTGTTTATCAATTGGCTTCTCCTCTACTTGGCCCTCTTACTGACTTCCTCAAAATCAAAGACTTCCAGGAACATCCTTCAGACTCTTAAAACATATACAAGGTATTGGGTTGAAAAAAGTCAATCTTTCTCCTGAAAGCTCTTAATAATAATGGGCCAGAAGTTGCAAAAGCAAGATGAACCAAACCTTTCCTGTAATTGACGAAGAGAGAGTAGTTATGCCATCATGAACCTAGAAACAGTGTTTATCAATTGGCTTCTCCTCTACTTGGCCCTCTTACTGACTTCCTCAAAATCAAAGACTTCCAGGAACATCCTTCAGACTCTTAAAACATATACAAGGTATTGGGTTGAAAAATAAAAAATAAAACATCCTATGCCCGTTAAGAAGGGTTGAATAATCTCCAGAAATCAAGTATATACACTACATTCAGTCTTTCAGCCACAAAGGAAGCAGATGAATGGCACAAGAAAGACACGTGACATAAAAAGTTAAGCCAACTTTTAGTAATTCTAGTGTAAGTGTTTGGGCCAAGCCTTATTGCTACACAGTCCTATTCACAATTCCAAACAAAAAAATAGAATATAAAAACAGCATTTACAGTTACAAAAAAATAAAAAAAGAACAAAAAGTTAGTCTCTAGTATAGTGTTTGGCAAACTACAAAATCAGGTTTACAGATGACAAATATGACACCACATGGATGACAGTCAGGTTTAGCAATGCTCTTAAACCTGATAATCCAGCCTCATGCATCCTGATGTGACTTTAACCTAAGTTCACTCTATCCTAAAGGAGAGCTGCACTGAAATGGAACTTGAATAGATTTTCATCAAGTTATCCATTAAAAAAAAAAGAAAAAAAGTAAAAAAAGGATAGATGAGATCAGCAAAGTTCAGTAAAGTGCTAAATCAGTTTTATTTATGACAGGTATGTCCCAGATAGATGTGGCTCATGTTTAGTAAGACACTGGAACCTGGATATTTTTCATGATCCAGATATTAACTAAATCAGGCGTACCTTTGTTCCAAAAATGAGTTTTTTTGAAATAAAATCTGACAAGGTCTCTGGTGCTTTTAGCCATAAAATGGATTTGGAGGCCAAACACATTTACAACTTTTAACAACTCTACCAAGTTATCCATCCAAATTTTGTTCAGGAAACAGTTAATAATAACTTTCACGGAAGAATCAGGCCGATTCAATCTCCATTTAGGGCAAATCAATTGAGAAAAATTGAACAGACAACCAAGTTCCAAGATTTCAAGCTGGCCCTAAATTTGCACAAAATGGTTAACAAGACATTTTCTCTTTCAGTCAAAACTAATTTAAAAATTGTTTGGCAATCAGCTAAAGATTCTTAAACAGAGCTTAACCATGATCAACAAGATGGCACTTCATTAAGTACAACCCAAAAATGGCACCGCAGCAATGGTAAGCAATTATCACATAATGTAAAATACGTCCTTAACAAATTAATACATAGATAAGACTTGCAAACATAAATATAGCAAAAATGCACTAGTGTAGACATTAACTTATCTATACAATTAGGATGGGAACATAGCAAGGAACCCCGTCCCTGCCCTGCAAGGAATTTTATAGTCCCGTCCCTGCTCCGCTCAATGTCCATTTATACTGGGAATTAGGCCAATGGGCTTGGGTAATTGGTTCGGTTTGGGCATAAAAATATTGGCTAAGATGATATTAAAAAAATTTTGAGATTTTTTCTTTAAAATGCAGAAGAATAAACATATAGGAATATGAGGAGAACTCTTTCTTTGTATTCAATTGAGACGAATAGCTTGTTGAAGACATCAAATTAAATAATAGGTGATGGAATTGCTATGCCGGACTACAAATTCTAATTAGAAGGACTCTTTTTTGGATAAGCAGTTGCTTACTAACCATCAATATTGACAGAATAGAAAAATAGCAAGGTCCGCAAGGATCAACAAATAGTCAGCACCAACAGCATAGTCAGCAGATGTTTTTCATGAGAGAATGAAGGATTGTGGGGACTCGTGCAACCAACCCCACAGTAACAAGAAACAAGATGAAGCTTTACATATTTTGATCGGAAAAATAAAACTGTAATTGAGTTTAACTGAACAAATTTTGAAGAGGTCCATCAAGTATGTGTATAAAGAATCCTATTTCTCTGTGGAAGCCCCAGAATAATTACTTATCTTGACTGACGAGGAGATGTAAAATATAAAAACGTCAAATTTATCCACTAGAAGAATCCTATACAGAAAAAATTTAAAATAAATAAATTCAACTATACAATGGAAAAGAAATCCAGTTTCATCAAGAAAAACAGAGGTACCATCATTCAGGTGTGCCTACCTATCAAGCCTTTAGAGAAGGTCTTAGCAGCTGACCTATATTCGAAAGAAATACAAAATCCAGCTCCTCGGAATTCAATCCAATAAAGTAGTATCCCGTTAATATTATCAAAAACTATGCTGAGAAAATTATGCCAAAAAGTCTTCGTCCAAGATTGTTGCTTTAATCATAATTTCGATAAATCAGAAAACAATTAACAGAGAATACAGCAAATTCTGCAAATGAAATTGAAATACAAGACAACATATTCGTGGACTAGATTCACATACATCAAACACTAAGAGTGATTCCAGTCCAAAATTCGCAATCTCAATAGAGAAATCAAGTACCTCGATAGAGAGTTCTAGGATTTATTAGGTAATAGACCCTCAGGTCGTTTGGATTATTGTGTGTGGTAATGAATTTCAGATTTCGGATTCAATCAGTGGAGAAATCTTGCCCTAATTCGATTTCTCACGAACATATTGAGCAAATGGGCTTTCGTCAATAAGCAGGTGTCGTTTCATATGTTAACGGCCCAGCAAGGCATTTGAAAAGTCCTCTTTGACGCAACTGAATCCATGACCTTATGTTTTTTACAATAATGCTATTCGAACAGATTCCTTTGCACATATGTTGAACAGGTAATAAAAAATTAATAATGGGCACATCAATGAACAGTAGAAATTGTTTGAAAAACGGGACAAATTTGACAGACCACTGGTACAACCTTTCCTCCTCCAAATTGGAAGTCAGTATTTTCCCTCCTCATTTTCCCTCGTTCCCTTCTCTCCCGGGCCTTCATTCCCGCCGGCCAGTTCTTCGAATCCGGTAGCACCTCCGAACAGCATGTCTTCGTCGACACCGTCGAACCCAGGTGACCCACTGTTAAATGTCATCTTCAAAATTTTCCAATTCAACATATTTAATTTGTTGTTTGCAAAGCATGAAAAATGTCATTGCTTAAAAAAAATTTGAATGACAGTGGAGATGGAGATATTTAACAAAAGTGAAAAATAAAAAATAAAACATCCTATGCCCGTTAAGAAGGGTTGAATAATCTCCAGAAATCAAGTATATACACTACATTCAGTCTTTCAGCCACAAAGGAAGCAGATGAATGGCACAAGAAAGACACGTGACATAAAAAGTTAAGCCAACTTTTAGTAATTCTAGTGTAAGTGTTTGGGCCAAGCCTTATTGCTACACAGTCCTATTCACAATTCCAAACAAAAAAATAGAATATAAAAACAGCATTTACAGTTACAAAAAAATAAAAAAAGAACAAAAAGTTAGTCTCTAGTATAGTGTTTGGCAAACTACAAAATCAGGTTTACAGATGACAAATATGACACCACATGGATGACAGTCAGGTTTAGCAATGCTCTTAAACCTGATAATCCAGCCTCATGCATCCTGATGTGACTTTAACCTAAGTTCACTCTATCCTAAAGGAGAGCTGCACTGAAATGGAACTTGAATAGATTTTCATCAAGTTATCCATTAAAAAAAAAAGAAAAAAAGTAAAAAAAGGATAGATGAGATCAGCAAAGTTCAGTAAAGTGCTAAATCAGTTTTATTTATGACAGGTATGTCCCAGATAGATGTGGCTCATGTTTAGTAAGACACTGGAACCTGGATATTTTTCATGATCCAGATATTAACTAAATCAGGCGTACCTTTGTTCCAAAAATGAGTTTTTTTGAAATAAAATTCTGCAAGCGTAAAATGGCATTTCGTCCAATGTTAAAGAAAAGGAAAACTCTGTAATGGGGATGAAAAACATGCCCTGCATTGGTCATTGTTATTACAATAATGCTGTTCGAACAATTTGGATTTCATGGTTTTTACTTTAGTTCTTTAGGTTGTGAAACTCTAAAGGTAATGAGAAGCTTGTAACCTGGAAGTTAAAATCATGGTTTTTACTTTAGTTCTTTAGGTTGTGAAACTCTAAAGGTAACGAGAAGCTTGTAACCTGGAAGTTAAAATCATGGTTTTTACTTTAGTTCTCTTTAGCTTATTCAGTCTGTTGATAGCAGTGAGAACCTTAGATCTTTGAAATTTTACCAATAAACTATATTTATTTTACAATTTACTTAGAATGTTCAATCTTTATGCATAATAATGACGATACAATTTTTGCTTCATTTCTGGACGCAGGAAATAATATGGAAGGTGGCATTGATGATTTTTTGTTGGAAACTGAGGATGAGATCGTTGCGGAGAACAGGAACATAGTGGAAGATGAAATGTTAGGAGATGATGGTATCGTTGTACCTAAGGTCGGAATGACATTTAGCAGTGAAAATGAAATGTTTGAATTGTACAAAGAATATGCATACAGCGTAGGTTTTCCCGTAAAAAAAAGGAATTCAAAAAAAGGGTCCGGTGGAGTTTTGAGATTTGTGACATATACTTGTGGCCGTGAAGGTCGAAGGCCAAGTACTGCTACCAAATCTGTAAGGCCGCAAGCAACAATTCAAACTAATTGTAAGGCCCGGATAAGCGCATCTTCAGATGATCATGGATCTTGGAGAATTAATGCAGTCCACCTCGACCACAATCATGGAACAAGCCCATCGAAATCCAGGTTGTTTCGATACAATAGAGAACTGAGTGCACAGGTGAAGCGGAGGCTTGAAGTGAACGATGTTACAATAATTCCTCATACGCTCGCTTTGATATGCAGGCAACATCGACATCGAGCAAAGGAAAGAGACCAAATTCGAGTCAGAGTGCTACTCCAGTTGGTACACAAGAACTTCAGGCGTCCCAACATTAGCATGAAAAATTCAGAAAGAAAATCTTTTGCCTCTTAAGTTTTATCAATTGAGGAAAAATTTTATGCATGTCCATAGTGGACTATTTGGTTTTGGCCAGGTAGAATAATATGCAGAACCAAAACTTGCTATTTCGTGCCTGTAGAAATAAGAATTGGTTTGATAAGAAACTTGCGTGATTTTAAGTGAACAAATCTCAAGACCTGTGTTTTGCTTACATTTTGTATAGCTGTACATTTGTGTTGAACGTGTTAGTTAATGATCTGAGCAATAGATGCATGGACTGTCCCGCGCATTTTGAAAACGCCTAAATAGAAAGAGGTAGAAACTGAAAGATAAAAAATTCTCAGGATTATATGCAT